AGCCATGTGACTACCATAAGATACATACCTCCCCCCTCCAAGAAACAACAGACCAATAGCCATATGGATAGCCATGTGACTACCATAAGATACATCAGCTGAATGACGCTTACGAAGCTGACGAGCAATACGCAGTACATCAAGATTCCCAGTTCCAGCCATGACCTGCAAATGATAGCAAAAATGGCATAAGAAAGTTTATTGAGCACATCATACATAATCATTTGAATGGATAGTTAGAGTAATCTGTGGCTCAGGGTTAGCCCGGATTTTGTGAAGAATATTCATGTGTTCCAGTGAAGGTCCCTGGAATTTCAAAGTGTTTGTATTATCGAAGTCTTGCATTCTTTACTTCACCGTTGGTATTTGTGGATATTTAGACACTGATACGAGGCTACCCCTGAGTAAATGAGTCTGTGATCAAGGAACACAGCGGTATTGTACGAATTCGAAAACGGTCTATTTGGACAATAGAAGAAATTACTATAAACATTACTGGACATGTCTGGATGGATTTTTAAATTGTTTTTCTTTTTTAAAGAAATAAGTTAATATACACGTTTATCTTCTTCTTCATCATTTTTTACATTTACTTCGACAGCGTAATCTTCGTTATCAACCCTTTCTAAAAGTATCACGGGTCATGTCTAGATGATGGTGATATTAAGACTGATTGGACGTGGACTAATACTATAGTTATATGTATACATACCAAAGACAATGCTAACAGACTGACATCCATACATGTCTCTATAGTGGGCTTGCCTGCCTGTGGACCAACGTATACTTCATGTCATCTAACTAGAGCATATTTCATGTCTGTGACAGATTTATTTGACTTTCCTAGGCTTACCTGATCGACCACAGATGAAGACAACAAGTTCTTGAAATATTTGATGTAGTGCATCTAAAAGAGTTGAATCAAGAGTCAATCATCTGAATCAAGATTATACTACCTTAGTAAACTGTTTTAGTATGAAAGATTGACGTACCAAACAATCAAATGCTTGCTGATTGGCTGAACCGGCGAACCTCATTCCCATGGCGAGACAGCAACCAGCGATGATGTTAGCATTGGCTTGACTATTGAATTACAAATATTCAAAATTATTTAGTACTCTTTGCAACTAAGACTTTAAAAATTGCTAAGTAAAAAGAATAAGTTGGGTGGCCACGGTTAGGCGCATTGCAATGTATCTGTGAAAACTTTTATTTTCTCAATTGCTCTCATGCGCGCATTATTTCTGTTGAAGCAAATCTTGAAGAAATTAAATGTTCAGTCAAACATTACCTCAAAGTCTGAAGATCTATGTCTAATTTCTCGAGTTTTTGAGCTTCAATATTCGAGCAGAAGGCGTAGTTTTTGACGATCTGTGAGGGGAAAAAGTAACGTTACTGGTAAGCGACATGCAACATATGCTTACAATTGCATTACACAACGAAAAAACCAATAATTATTGTCAGTCTTTTAGTGTTACTTCTGACTATAATCTAGACTTAGTAAACTCCAAAGAAAAACTCCTTTTCCTAAAGGTTTGAAAAGAGAAAACATTTCACCCTATCTATCTAAATAATGAAAATAAACAAAAAGCAGGGGTTTCAATAACATGTGCAATTATTCTTACAGCAGGTATATGGGTGTCCACCCACTCCATTGATGGTACAATAGAGTCCCACATGATAAGACCACGACTAAGAAGCTACAAGAGAAAAAAATCACATTAGTCTTGTAATGTTATTAGAGGATATAGTTTGCACATTTAGACCCTCTGAAGTTGATATTTCTTCATTAACAATTTCTGTTTACAGCTGTACTGAGTAAAACAAAATTTTGCATTTGACATTATGGTGATTGAAAAAATGCATACGTGGACAGAGATGTGCGTAAACCCTTGTGTAAATAGACAACAGATCAATATACTAGCCGGGGGATGGAGGGATGGTATGGTATGCCGTAACACTGAAATGGTTTCCCAATCCATCCAAATACAAGTGTAGTTACGTTGCAACAAAATACACTACCACCGCAGCAAGCAATAGGTATTCGCCTTGAACTCTTCAGTCAGTTCAGTCACACTATCCTAATACTAGTATCATCGAACATGGTTGGAACTAATTATTCAAAGAAAGGAAACTAGCCTTACCCTGAGAAGAAGAAAGTCTGGCCGAACAGAGTCCAGTAGGAACTGTGTATCAGGAGCACTAAGCCACGACGCTATTGCACTGAAAAAATATAAATTGTATTGAAAAAAAGGTTTAAAAGCAACTCTTTGTCATAAAGTTGGCTTGTGCGCGATAAAGTTGAGTTACTACTGTAGTGGTAAGAAAAGATAGCTTGGCCATACCTGTTATTGGTCTTCATATACATGAGACCGAGTGCAAGGGTAGCACCAGGTGCAGTAACATCAGTATTGACTGTATCACCTTCCTGGATTCACAATACACATTATTATCAGTATAGATCAAGTTATTCTTAGGGCACCCTGCATGACACCGAGGGCTAGGGTAGCACCAGGTGCGGTAACATCTGTATTGACTGTATCACCTTCCTAAATTCACAATACACATCATTATTATATAGATAGAAATGTTTTCATTAAATAATGGTTTGCCCTACCTTGATTAGATAGCTGGTAGTTTTAAACTTTTCTTTCTGTGTTCCTGCCTATGAAAACAAACACAATCATGCGATTAGAAAAACCGATCTGAATATTACGTCTTCAGTTTATTTTCAAGAATGGGAAAAGGTTTCATTATTTTTGTGTATTCGTCCTCTATTCTACCAGTCCCCCACCCCTTACCCCC